TTATGCTATGCTTTTATGTGGTAGTGTTAGGGGGTGAAATAGTCCCCGGTTATCGGTTGAAAGATACCGAAGGGGAGGCCAGCACCCAGATATGCTAGGCAGTATCCGGTCGAGAGGACCGAAGGGGAGGCCAGCACCCAGGTATGCTAGGCAGTATCCGGTCGAGAGGACCGAAGGGGAGGCTAGCACCCAGATATGCTAGGCAGTATCCGGTCGAGAGGACCGAAGGGGTAGGTCGGGCACCCAGATATGCCTGACAGTATATGTATGTTATATGATTGTGTGGTATGTGGTATGATGGGGGAACTCACTAAGCTTTGTGCTTACGGTTTACAGTTTTGGTTTCAGGTACTCGTTTTCAAAGGAAAGGAGTCGGCTTGATCACAACGCATCACACTATGTTTTCTGCACATGAGATCCTTGGGATTACACTCTGATATGGTTTTATGATAATATGTTTTCATTATTGACACTTTGGTTTTGACATGAGATATTAATATGAATGTTTTTATACTGATGGTTTTATATAATAACTTAATTAAAACGAAATTTTTGGCCTTGAATTTTGGGATGTTACAGTTGATGATATTGTGATCATAGCTTCTAGCTCGTCTTTGATCACTGTGTCATTGCTCATCTCTGCTTTGAATTCTCTATGACTGACTTAGGTGCTCCCTCTTTCTTTCTTGGCATTGTTGCTATGCGTACCACATAAGGCTTGTTTCTTTCTCAAAGAACCATTGCCAAGGAGATTCTTTCTCATGTCGTTATGATCTCCTATAATCCTTGCAGCACCCACATAGATACCAACCAAAACTATCCCCTTCTAGGAAAACCGGTGTCTGATCCAACCTTGTATCGCAGTCTTGCTAGAGCCTTATAGTACGGGTGAGCATTTGGACTGGACCGGACCGACCAGACCAACCCTTGGACCGGACCGATTTGGCAAAATATTTTGGACCTTGGATCGAACTGGACGAGGCTTACCATGTCCAGGTCCATGTTCGGGTCCAGGTCCATGTTTTCTGGTTCTTGGATTGGTATATCTTAGATTCATAGGGTGCAACTCGTTAAAATGTGTTTTTGGGTTTACTATGTTTTTAGGTTTGATACTACTCGTTATAAAGAATACGTTTTGGGTTTGATACGTTACAACTCATTAACATAATACATTTTTGGGTTTGATACAACTCGTTAAAACGAATACGTTTTTGGGCTTGATACGTTACAACTCATTCATATGATTTATCTATCAAAAATACATAAAATTCAGAGTTTTAATCTAAAAAAATAGGTGAAAATTGTCAGCTTTGATATCCCAACTTTGAAGGATTGTAATTAGTTGAATATAACACCAAAAACGACAAAACAAAATAGTGTAAAATCATGTACAACTCTAAATTACATGCTGGAAAGAACCGCATGCCAATCTAACTTAAAATGAATGATATACTATTGTTTAAAGATTTTCATAGAATACAAAAGTTTAAAACAATAGTTGAAAAGTTGAAATATTTCAGATTTGATATCCTAACTTCAAAGGATTATAATTCATTGAATATAACACAAAAAACAACAAAATTATAGTCTAAAATCATATATAAACTCTAAATTACACGCTAGAAAGAACCGTATGCCAATCCGACCTAAAAAGAATGAGATATGCTTGTTTAAAGTTTTTTACAGAATACAAAAGTTTAAAATAATAGCTGAAAAACTGAAATATTTCAGCATTGATATCTCAACTTCGAATGATTGTAATTCATTGAATATAATACCAAAAACAACAAAATTATAGTCTAAAATAGTGTAGAAACTCTAAATTAGATGCTAGAAAAAGTCGCATGCTAATCTGTCCTAAAACGAATGAGATATACATGTTTAAAGATTTTTTAGAGAATACAAAACTTTAAAATAATAGCTATATATATATATATATATATATATATATATAATATATATATATATATATATATATATATATATATATATATATATATATATATAGACAAAACTTCTAAAATGGTCCCTGTGGTTTTTGAAAAATCTGAAGTTTAGTCCCTAATCTTTAAAAACCTCACAGATGGTCCCTGTGGTTTCAAAACTTTTAACTCCTTTTCGCTAACTCCGTTAGCATTTAACCGTTAAGTGAAGGGCATTTCTGTCATTTCACAACCACAGTGACCATTTATGATGTTTTGGCTTATTTTTTTTTAAAAAAAAGGAAAAAAATATAATTATTCAATATTAAATGCCCCTCTCTCTCTCTCTCTCTCTCTCTCTCTCTCTCTCTCTACCCTCGATCAGATCCTAAAACGCACCACCACCCGGAATTCCTTAGCCGCCTCCGTCATCCACACAAGAAATAATGGTGACTGAGATCTGTCATTGCTTCCTCCCGTTGGCCCATCGCCTCCAGACGGTGTCACCTCCTTCCTCGACTTCTCGATTCTGCATCCTAATCTAGATTCATGATGTGGAATTTGCGAGTCTTCAATCAAATCTTCAACTATCATTATCAATCTTCTACTACTATTTCTCATCATCGATTCAATCATAGTTTCGAAAATTGAGATTTCATGTTGTGGAATTCGTGAGTAATTCACTCAATTGTAAGATATGGTTAATTTGATCCCTATATCTTATTGTATTCCTTCCAATTTGATCGATCACTCCACTTTGTGAATCTACACTTGATGAAGCAACCGATCATTCAATCAATCGTTTCTTTTTTCTTGATTAGAAATCTGATGATATGATTACCTTCACTTCGATTCAAGGAACCAATCGAAGATCTGATTGGAGATGCTAATGAGGTAAGTTATCGAAGTTCTTTTGATTTCTGAAATATCCTATCTGCTGCTATTTTTTATTACGTTGCTAACAGAACGCCGACAACATTATGCAAAACTTGTATTCACAGGTTACAACTAATAGGGGATGGGGTCATCGTCTTCATCAATTCGAGAAGGGAAAAACACACAGGAAGCAGAAAAGGTTTGGTGTGGAAGATCTGTTGCCGAGACCGGCGATCCCGTTTTTCCGACAAGTTCGTTTATTCCTTGGTATTTAACCCAACAATGGGACTGTGGGAATGGAGGGAAGACAACAATGACCAAGGGAGGGTGCTACGCGACGGTGGTGAGCTCGAAGGGTGGTATGGGAGGTCGGGGTTGGTCGTAATCATGAAGGGAAGAGCTGGGGGTGAGGTAGGCTACTACACCGTCGGGATGGAGGCAGCCTCTTCTTGGCCGGTGGTGAAGAAAAACGGGAAGGGAAGAGAGAAGTGAGGGTAGAGAGAGAGAGAGAGAGAGATAGAGAGAAGGATAATGAGAATGAGAGAGAGAGGGTGGAGCCATTTAATATTAAATAATTATATTTTTTTCTTTAAAAAAATAAATAAGGCAAAACATCATAAATGGTCCCTGTAGTTGTGAAATGACAGAAATGTCATTCACTTAATGGTTTTAAAGATTAGAGACTAAACTTCAGATTTTCGAAAACCACAGGGACCATTTTTGAAGTTTTGTCAATATATATATATATATATATATATATATATATATATATATATATATATATATATATATATATATATATATATATATATATATATATATATATATATTAAATCCGGTCGAAAACCAGTTTTTACCCGGAAGCAGTAAAAAACCGAACTGAATTGCTCAATTTATCGAACCAAGAACTGAACCGATTCTAAAAAAAAGTCCAGGCTTGGGTCTAGTTTCCGGTCTGGTCCGGTCCACGGGTCCAAATGCTCACTCCTACATTATAGTATCTAACCTTTACTTGTTATAATATTGCTTACGCGGTTTAACATATTTATCTCTTTATGTATTCGTCCGTCATCTGTCGATCTTTTGGTTGCTTATTTTTTATGTTGACTGGGTCGGCTGTCCTGAGACACGCTGGTCTACTTCTGGGTTTTGTGTTTATCTTGGTGATAATGTTATCTCATAGTGCTCAAAACGTCAACATGTCGTGTCCCGGTCTAGTGCCGAAGCTAAGTACATGGGAGGGGGGGGGGGGGGGGGGGGCTAATGTTGATCTCCTTCTTGAATTATCTTGCTCTCTATCTCGTTCTACTATTGGTTTTGTCACAATATAAGTGTTATGTACTTAGCTTGTAATCGGGTTGAGCACCAAAGAAGCAAACATGTGGAAATAAATTTATATTTTTGTTAGGAATGCGTTATCAGTGGATAGGTTCGTGTGTTGCATATTCCATCTACTCACCAATTTGCTGACATATTTACAAAAGGACTACATACATATTTATTTTTAGACTTCCGGGACAGTTTAAGCGTTCGTGAACCCCCGCTCAAATGGAAGGGGTGTGTTAAGTCATATATTGTTAGTGTATGTCTTTTATACTCTTGTATGGTGGAGGGTTCTTTTTGTAAATTTTACTTAGGTGCTGTTTGTTTTTTTAAAAAAACCACTTCAGACCACTTATTGCTGCGCCGCGCAGCACACGCGCAACACTTGACCTTTCGCAGCTGTTTGTTTTCCTGAAGACTTCTGACTTAAAAACTGTTGCGCGTGTGCTGCGTGGCGCAGCACTAAACCAACTGCTTCAAACCTCTTTGCGCCTTACTTTAACTTACTGCAGCAGTCTGCAGACGTTAAAAACACAAACAGACTTTTTATTAAATGCTGCAGCCTTTTGTTCCACCTCTTCTGCTACAGAGGATTGCAGAGGTGGTCCACAGACTTAAGACATTTTCGCTTCGAAAAAACAAACAACACCTTATACGTGCTGTACTGTTTAAAACAATTGAATTTCCTGAAACCCTATATTTTCACAATTCAACAGTTTTATGCCTGCCTGAAAAAGTATTTTTGCGGGTGCAAGAGTACATATTTGCGATTACGGTGTCCATTTTGTAAATTCCAGTAAATTACACAAAACGTTTTATTTTTGAAAACATTATCTTTCAAATGTCTAAACCAGAAAGTTTATGTTGACTTCGACAACGATGCGACCTTCAAAGTTGCATCCTTTCGCTCAACAAATTCAAGAATCCCTCTATGTTTCAATCTCAAGAGCACTATCTTTAACATCAAACATCAAAGAACTTCACAAAATTCATTCATTTTTAATTACTTCAGGACTCGTTAGAACAGTTTTCTTCTCTGGCAAACTCATCAGCAAATACGCTCAGCTGAAAGACCCACATTCATGTTCATCGGTCTTCATCAGCGTTTCGCCTACCAACAACGTCTATCAATGGAATACTATCATAAGAGCGATGACCCATAATGGATTATTCATAGAAGCACTGAATCATTATACCAAAATGAGGGTATTGAATATAAAACCTGACCCCTTCACTTTTCCTTCGGTGATTAATTCCTGTGCGGGTTCAGGGAAGTTTGACACAGCTAAGATTGTTCACGAACATGTTTTGGAGTTGGGGTTCCAATCTGATTTATATATTGGTAATGCGTTGATTGATATGTACGCGAGGTTCTCTACACTGGACAAAGCACGCCAGGTGTTTGATGAAATGCCAAACAGAGACTCAGTTTCTTGGAATAGTCTGGTTTCGGGTTATAGTGCACATGAGGAATGGGAAAAAGCTTTGGAAACTTTTCATCAATCAAGAACAGCTGGATTGACACCAGATTCCTTCATGGTGTCGAGTGTTCTTCCTGCTTGTAGTGGGCTAAATGCGATCATGGAGGGTCAAATTGTTCATGGTTTGTCATTAAAACTTGGGATTGATATCAACACAAGAGTATGCAATAGTCTTCTTTCAATGTACCTCAAATCCAACAAATTAGAAGAGTGTCACAAGGTTTTCAATAAAATGCCCATTAGAGACGCAATTACATGGAACACTGTAGTCTCAGGGTACTCTCAATTAGCCTTATATCAAGAATCTATCATGTTGTTTAAGGAGATGTTGAATAAACACAAACCAGATCTTTTAACAATTACTTCTGTTCTCCATGCTTGTAGTAACATTCGGGATTTGGAATCTGGAAAATTTGTACATAATTACATGGTTGTAAATGGATACGAATGTGATATAACAGGAAGTAATATCCTTATTAATATGTATGCAAAATGTGGCAACTTGTCAGAAGCAAGAGAAGTTTTTGACAAAATGAAAACCAGGGATTTGACATCATGGAACTCGTTAATCAATGGTTTTGTTAAAGCATCATTATATGAGGAAGCAATTGAAACTTTCACATCAATGAAAATGGACATAACACCTGATTTTGTCACATACGTGACAATTCTTCCTATATGTACATTTCTCATGAGCTTAAAGTTAGCAAAATCATTTCATTGTGAAACGATTAAATCGGGGTTTAACTCCAGCATAATTGTGAGAAATGCTCTCATTGATGTTTATGCTAAATGTGGCAAAATGGAAGATGCATTGAACCAATTTGATAACATGAAAGATCGCGATATCGTATCATGGAACACGATTATTTCCGCATGTTCTCATTCCGAGGAATACAATTTAGGGTTTAAAATAATTAATCAAATGAGAATCGAGGGAATTTTACCTAATGTAGCTACAATTTTAACCACATTACCTTTATGTTCAAATCTTGGAGCGAAACGACAAGGTAAAGAGCTTCACGGGTGTGTTTTTAAGTTAAATTTTGAGTCAAACATTCCAATCGCAAATGCACTAATCGAAATGTACTCAAAATGTGGAAATTTAAAAAATTCAATCCGAGTATTTGACCATATGAAAGTTAAAGATGTTGTGACATGGACAACATTGATTTATGCATACGGGATATACGGTCAAGGAAATATGGCAATAATAGCATTTGGGAATATGAAAGCTGCCCGAATAATTCCTGACCGAATCGCCTTTCTTTCCATTATCTTTGCGTGTAGTCATTCGGGTTTGGTAGAAAAAGGTAGGGCTTATTTTAACGAAATGACAAAAGATTACAAAATTGACCCGAAAATCGAACACTACGCTTGTGTGGTTGACCTTCTTTCGCGATCCGGGCAGCTGCCCGAAGCCGAAAAATTCATTCTTTCCATGCCAATGACTCCCGATGCAAGCATATGGGGTTCTTTACTTAGTGCTTGTCGGGCAAGTGGGACCCACACCAAGATCGCGGAACGTGCTTCAAAACGTATAATCGAATTGAATTCAAACAATCCCGGATATTATATTTTGGTATCGAATGTATACGCGAGTTTAAAGAAATGGGATGAAGTTAGAAAGGTGAGAAAGTTAATTAAAGATAAGGGATTTAAGAAAGATGCGGGGCGTAGTTGGTTAGATATTGATAAAAAGATTTATGTTTTTAGTAGCGGGGAGAAGTTTTTTGAACAATATGAAGAGGTTAAGAATTTGCTTGAGGTTCTTGGGGAGTTGATAGCGAAAGAAGGGTATATTGGTAATTTGAGATCTGTTTTTCATGATGTTGGAGAAGATGAGAAACGAGAGATTCTTTGTGGGCATAGTGAAAGGCTTGCGATTGCTTTTGGATTGTTGAATACGAAACCGGGAACACCGTTGCAGATAATGAAGAATTTACGGGTTTGTGAGGATTGTCATACTGTGACTAAGTATATATCGAAAATTGTGGAAAGAGAGTTTTTAGTTAGAGACGCAAATCGGTTTCATTTATTCAAAAATGGAAGTTGTAGTTGTGGTGATTATTGGTGAAATTAAGTTATTATTTACTCTCGCTATCAATATTAACAATGTGTTTTATCTTTTACACATAATAGCAACATACTTACATTTATTTTACTGATAATAGCAATGTAGTTACATTTTGCTACCAATATGTGCAATGCACTTTATTTTTTTTTATATTATCACTAAAAACTTGTAAAAAATTTGCTATTATGTGTAAAGAATAGTAAGTATGTTACTGTTATTCTAAAAAAATGTAAGTACGTTGCTATTATGGGTTATTTATTGCTATTATCTTTAAAGATATGGTAGTGTGTTGCTATTATGGGTAAATACATATAACTACACTATATTATATATATCTAACATGTAACAAGTTGTGTAACACTGTTGATAGTGTAACGCCAACTTTTTTTTTCTTTTCTTTTTTATAATTTGTAAAGTCACATAAGTAGTCCTATAAAGCTTGCAAAGTTTCATAAGTTATCCTTAGCTTAAATACAAGTTGTGTATAGTGTAACACCATTTTTTTATTGTTTATTATTATTATTATTATTTTTTTATAATTTGTAAAGTCACATAAGTAGTCCTATAAAGTTTGCAAAGTTACATAAGCTGTCCTTACCTTAAATACAAGTTGTGTATAGTGTAACACCATTTTATTGTTATTATTTTTTTTGTAAAGTCACATAATTAGTCCTATAAAGTTTGCAAAGTTACATAAATGGTCCTTAACTTTTTTTTTTTGGTAAATAAATTAGTTATACTCTTGGTCATTTTAGCTTTTAGTTAGACAAAATGATCCCTAAACTAAATAAATATTTAATAGCAACCCATTTATTTTCCAAAAATGGTCTCTCTCTATATAACACATAGTTACTGTAACGGTTCCTACCTAAGATGGTCCCTAAACGAAATAAATATTACAAAAATGATACCTATTTAACAGTAAAATTGCAGAAATGACCCACTTATTTACTCGATTAATAAACTTCGAATGCATAGAGAAATCCCCACTAGTTGATAACAAGTGTAAAATACATGGCTATTTATTGCAATCTACCCAACTTAAAAAACGAAATAATTTACGCTCTAGAAGTGTAAATATTTATGTCTTCACTATAAGTCATCAATCACGATTTGAAAGTATTACATGATTATTTAGATGCTTTAACAGAAAGGAAATACTCACGCATGACCTTGAACTTGGTAACCAACTTCTCCCGATCTGGCCAACTTTCTTTAATTATTGAGATATTATAAAAGTTATCTTTCCATAACATTATAAGAGGAAATCTCTCTTCCTCTAAGAGTTTTATGCCACTTGTTTCTTCAAATATTTCAAGATAATTTGCAATCCATCCAAATGCAAGATCTAAGAATCCAATTGTTTCTCCACTAAAGAATTTCTTTCCTTTTAGCTGTTTTTCGACAATTTCTAGGTTTTTTAAAGCAGGAGCCTTTGCTTCTTCTTGCTCCACTCCTTGGCTTGTGTAAGCATGGAATACTGATGGTGCTAGCTACATTTAGACAAGGGTTAAATGCAATACATAGGAATAGTTTATAGACATCATGTATATTGACAACATTTTATCCAAATAACATTTTAATGGGAAAAACAAAATGGAAATAACGCCTAACAATGATTTACCTGTTCGTCATTAAACTTTGCCCAGAAACGTGTAGTGGCTCTAGCAAGTGGATCTTTAGGTAAAAGAGGAGTAGTTTTGTTCCATGTCTCATCAATATACTCAAGAATTACAAGTGATTCACATATTGGTGTTCCATTGTGCAACAACACAGGAATTTTTTTGTGAACAGGGTTGTATTTGAGTAGTAAAGAACTCTTGTTTGCAAGATCTTCATAGATGGTCTCATACTCTATGCCTTTTAGTTTGAGTGCCCAAACTACCCTTAGAGCAAATGGGCTTGACCATGTCCTAAAAAGCTTCACTTCTTCCATTTCTTTAGATTACTTTATCTAAACCTCTAGTTGATGGCTTTCTTTTATAGACATTGTTAACCCCATTTGTTATACATGACTGGACATGACAGTAGAAAACAAGTTGTACTGTATTTGATTGAGACTATGTCAATGAGACAAAAAATAGCAAAATTGTGTCCCACTCAAAAAGATGGAAGAAGGTGGGAGTCCGAAAAAACATCTAAATGATACTAAATGACTATTTTTCACTTCGTGTTGAATAAAAATATCTAGCCGGTTATATAAAACCGAAACAGGCGTCTATTCATTCACGTTATAACCAATGTTATTAATATTATAATGTCAACAGTAGGTTTCATGAATATTGGCATAATAGCCGGCCATAGCAAGGAGGACATATTTATATGGAATTAATATACTATATTGTCACAGCAAAAAAGAACAGGTGTAATATGAAAACGATATTGCTTTACAAGTTTGTTGTGACGTCTGATTTTGAACGTCAAAAGATCCTCAATCCTTGTGTCTTTCACAAATTATTTGACGTCTGCCTATTAAAGTGGGGCTAGCCTAGTAATGGGTAATATACTCCAATAGAAGCCCAAGATCAAAATTAGGCAAGGAGATTCTAACTAAGGAGTATACTAACATATTAACAAACTAATCTTTCATAAAAAATAAAAAAACATAAAATATATTTTGATTTATTTTTTTTCCAGGTTAGCTGCTATATTTTATTTCGGTCAATGTAAGCCATCCATTTTGAAATAAATTTCCGCTCGACCGCTATGCTCCCATTTTTCGGTTTAATAGGAGTTAAAACCGGATTTACATTTCATCATATGTATTTTTTGACATAACATCTTGTTTCCTAAAATAGATTCTCATTTGCGGGTTTAGAAGGTTATACACATACCATATGGGTAAATAAGAAGCCATTTTACAAAAGCATAAAACAATGTGAAAAACATATTCCGTAGGTTGTATGACTTAATGGATTAAAACGAGATCAACTCACTTGCTATATACCTAAACCTATCGTGGAAATTACTACCATGAGTCCTTGACAAAAGCTGACAATAGCCATAGGTAGTGGTGCAAATGAACCGGGCTAAAATAAAAACTCATCAACGATAATTTAGAATAAGTTTGGTCCCTTCATTGGGTCAAAAGGGATGATGTGATGTCTGATCTGCAATTTCTTGTTTGTTAATCTTCATCATTTCAATTTGCAAATTCTCATGTTTATCCAAGCACCGATGACGATCTTTACTTCTTGCATCATTTCGATGGACTTAATTTAGCCATAGTTACTACCATGAGTCCTTGACAAAAGTTGACAATAGCCATAGCTAGTGGTGCAAATGAACCCGACTCAAATAAAAACTCATCAACGATAATTTAGAATAAGTTTGGTCCCTTAATTGGGTCAAAAGGGAGGATGTGATGCTTGATGTACAATTTTTTGTTTGTTCATCTTCAATTTCTTGTTTCAACTACAATCTTTACTTCTTACAACATTTCGATGGACTTGGTTTAGTATTAGTTTTGAAAATACACACATTAGAGAATTATGCACCTTGAACGTGTTCTTATTGTTGGATCTATATGATCAAAAATCATGTTAGAATGATCTTTGCTAATAACATATGATCCTAAACAGTCACATCAATAACAAGTTGATATATATATATATATATATATATATATATATATATATATATATATATATATATATATACTATTTATAATAATTTGACTCTTGATGAATAATCATAACTTTTTCATTTAATATATATATATATATATATATATATATATATATATATATATATATATATAATAATTTGACTCTTGATGAATAATCATAACTTTTTCATTTAATTGGAAATTATTTATTTTGAAAAATAATATTATTTCAATGTAACTATCATGGTTTATATCATAATCATGATATATAAAGTTATATATTTCTTTTTGGACTTAAAGACATTTTTATTTTTATCTAAAAGGTCATGGCTTTATAAGTTATAAAAGAGTGGAGTTTTTTTCTTTCTTTTTCTTTTTAATAAAAATTATCTTCTTTTTTATACTCAAAACTAAAATTCTAGTTAATGAGACAAGAAAAGAAGCTTTTAATTACTATAAGTGGTTAAACATGATTTAGAAACATGAGACTTTTATCGTTACGCATAGAGGGATGTGATGTCCACTAAGGTTAAGATACAATAGATAATGCATAAAGCTTAAAAGCTTTCATCTAATGCTCTTTCCTCACTCTTCTTTCTGTGAACTACTTCATCTTTCTCTCTTAACTACTTAAGAAACAAGTATAATAAAAAAGTAAAAGGGACTGATACCTGGAATGCTCTCTTTTAAGAAAAAATTGTCCGTTTGTCTTAAAGGGTTGATAGTTTCTTTAATGGCAAAAAGGACTAGCATCCACGTCAAGTTGGTTATTATTTGTAGATACTTCTAGATGATCTCTCTTTCGTGCTCTTGCCTCACTACATTAACTTACAACATCCCTTTGAGGAATCAAAGACTTAAAAGGTTGTTATTCTTTTTTTCTAAGATTGTATTAATCTTTCTATACATGAAAATGATCATTAGTGGATATAGAATAGTTTTTCTTATCAAATATTTATTCCTCCCGTTGCCATCTTTGTTGTTTTTAAAACCAATTTTTTGAATAAAACCCAACATTATTGGATTTATTTTTTCCACTTTTTCGGGTCCTAATTAGAACTCTTTCATCTACATCTACTTCCATGACATCCACAACTATTGCTAGTTAATTGGTTTTTGCTCTTACCAGTATCTACTCATAATTTAGCAACAAATTAGGTGTTGATGGTTCCATATACAAGCCATGTCATAGAATTTTTCATGACATGTGTAAAAGTGAAAACATGCATGGTCATATTACCGGGAAACCCCAACCTCAAGGAGATGATGATGAGTATTTGACAGCTATTTATTCCAGGATAAAGTCATGGTTTTAGCCTACATGTGATGCAAATTTACTTTTGATCATATGTAATGATAATTGTGCCTCCAAGGATTTGTGGGACAAACTGGACAAGTTTTTTCCTCAACAATAGGATGTTTTAAATGCTCCAACTACAAGAAAAGTTCTACACAACAAAGAATGCAACTTTGTCAACAATTGTCACTTAAAGATTGATGAAGTAGAGCTAGTTATACATATTTTACGTTAGTTGCATCCTTCCTCTCATAACATTGTCGATGTGATTACCAACACATAACTATTTCCATTGTTTCTTGAAGCCAAAACATGCTTCTTATCCATGAGTCTTGCGAAGAAACAACGCAAGCCAAGTAGTGACACACCTCACACCTCTTTGAAAGCTCTATACTCATCTACTTCGATCCATGGAATGTCAAAAAATTAATTTAGTTGGTACAAAAATAATGGGGGAGTGGCTTTCGGGGGAAGTAATACTAATGTTTTCTCTAGTTCCAATAATTTTTCAAGCAATCAAGACACACATGGAGAATTTCAAACTTATCGTAGAGCACAAAATACCTACGAATTATATCCTTCGTAGCAACACGACCTCTGTAACCCTTTGCCACATGCATATGCTAGTATCAGACGATCTCTCGTAGCTACCGCTCCAGAACATGCGCCCTAGACAACCCTCAGTCTCCAGCTCCTGGAGCAACCTCTCAACTTTCCTCTAGCATCGAAGCCAACTGTCGAGGGGGGGGGGGGGGGTGGGTGGGTAGCTAATATGGTTGTTGAAACTACATAGCTTTGAAACCTTCTTCTTGAGTTATATTTCCGTCTATCGTATGCCACCATTGTTTTTTATGACAATGTTAGTGTCATGTATTTAGCATGTAACCATGTTCAACACCAACATATCAAATCACGTTGAAAGAGACTTACATTTTGTTAGGGAGAATGTTGGGATTGGTCATGTGAGAGTTTTACATGTTCCATCTGCGCTATCAGTATGGATATATATATATATATATATATATATATATATATATATATATACACACACACATACACACACACACACACAAAGGGTTGACCTACAAAACTATTTTTTTATTTGAGATATAGGTTGAACATTCTGAATCTCTTGTTCCAGCTATAGGAGGGTGTTATAAAATTATTATTTAGTTTTTGCTATTTATACACTTATGTATAGTATATGTATTGTTAGATTCCTTTGTTTGCATCATTTATGTTAGTTTTTAGTATTGGTATGCATCATGTTTTCTATATTTGTGTATGTTATAGTATAATAATTGGATAACTCATGTTTTGATGTTCCAGAATAAACCATATGAAATTCCTTGAGGAATTTATGTGGGTATTTATTTTCAAGGCCTTTGAACGTGGTAAGGAGGTGTATTAACCCAAATTTCAGCTCGAAGTTCTAGGCATCAAGAAAAGTAATGCAAAGGGGTTGTTGGGTTACCTCTTGCATAACCTACTGTCTAAGAGTCCTTTCCGCATTATCTCCCATGGTTATGGTGGTGGATGAATCAGAATATGAATCAAACGAGTCGTTTTTCGATTTGACAGATGATGATGACGAGTATAGTTTACTTGGATTTTGAGAGGGCAAAGATGGAGGTGGTTTTGGGAAATACGAGACTGTTATTTCAAACTCATTACATCAGGGACTACCTTGTGGTGTGGTAATTTTCGATGTTAATGAAGATGATGGATTTGAGGAGCCTGTTTAATGCTTCTGAAGTTTGGTTATCTTCTTCAGCTTTCTTGCAGTCTACTCAATTTCTAGGTCGAATACTATATTGCATGTGTTTAAAGATCGCTACATAAATCAGTTAACAATATCGTGTCCCCGATAACAACGTCAATTTGTTAAAACGTTGTTGTAGACGTTTTAAACAAATAAATTATCACTGCTTGGTTGTACTAATAGGTAGGATGGGGAAGCATGGTCGAATCCTCAGGGACACAGCCTAAAAGTCAATGCCTCTTTGCATAAGACACATACTAGTCAAAGACA